CTAGCGCTGTCCATGATCCCATGTATATTCTCACCTTGGGCCACTTCTTCCACAAAAAGGTGGATGACTAGCTCTGCCTGAAATTCTGCCAACTGAGAGGATATGCCCTTACCACCATTTTTCAAGGTCACACCTGAGGAGGCTGTAATGTAGCTATTTTCATTTTAAACTCATACTAAGCCGACCCATTTAGGCACCATGCTCACAATTTTTACTCCCAGCAACTGGTTGTAAGGCCGCCCCCACTTGGTCACAGGTGTGAAATGACACTGCGGCTGATAAAACAGCAGTGGAAGTCATGTGCATCTGTGCTCTGCAGCTCATTTGGTAATCTCGGTACATTCTCATGCTCAATCTTGAATACACTACTTCCATATTAAAAGGGACTGTTGTTGGGCCTAAGTGATTTTATGACTTGGTAGTTTATGGTCATTGGTGCCTTACGGTTAGGTATTCCATCTAGTGCACCCACATGGTGTGAGGAATAAATCAACCAGGTCTCTCAGCAACGCAGGGAAAAAGGCTTCAAACTCTGTGCACAGACTAAGGTAGGAAACGTCACAAAGGGTGACAAAGTACTTCCTTGGTGGTCACAATTCTAGAGGTTAAGTGTGAATGTGCATGCCTAAGTTCCCTTGTAAATGGTTCCTCTCAGCAAGATCTGTGATCCTTTCATATGGCCTAGGGGCAGGAGAGAACAAAGCAAAAGAAAGAGAAGTGAGAGACACCTCCAAAAGGGCAAGGGACATAGTTAGAACCCTCCTTCCGGAAAAAGAAGGGCAAGCCTTTGGAAAATGGGATAGGCAAGAAATAAAGATGAAAGGTTGAGTCTGAGGGGTACTCAGTCTAACAACAGAGATAAAACTAAGAACGGGTGCTGGTAAGCACCACTTTGTATCAGTTGGATTCTTAGAAGTGACACTTAACCTCTGCCATTCTTGCTTTTGGAGGTGATAATTGTTTTATGATCTTGTTAGGGCATGGGGCAGTTTGAGGTTTCTGTTTGGCCTTTTACATTTTGTTATCTCTATCTATAGTCAGGGACCTGGAATGAGCATTAACTGCCAAGTATGTTAGTGCGAATTATTCACTCAAAGTCTAAGAAAATGATCACTAAGTCAGTCCAGTACGTGTATGGGTCTACTGCAAACTAGACCTTGAACAGGACTCCATCAATTACCTGGCCACCATATGCAGCCACTGACAGAAGGGGATGATACTCTAGGTGTCTGGATGCCAGTTGAGACCCTGTATCCACAAGTCTTCAAAACATTTAGCTAATCACTTTTCTCCAAGATGTAGTTATCAAAAGAAATGGCTATCAGACCCTTTAGAAAAGTACCTGGGGAGTCATTTCTGTGTACACTTGTACTGCCACAGGTCCTTCTTGATATTTGGCCACCTCTTCAGTAATGTTTCCATTTCTGGAAACTGGCTCAGTTCCAGAAACTGGGCATGAAATCCTGATTTTTTAAAACTGGGATAAGCATTTCATTTTTAAATTTAATTATTTTTTGAGATAGTCTTGCCGTGTTGCCCGGGCTGGAGTGCAGTGGTGCAACCACAGCTCACTGTAACCTTTAATTCCTGGGCTCAAGTGATCCCTTCACCTCAGCTTCCCAAAATGCTGAGATTACAGGTACAGGTTACCATCTCTGGGTTTTTTTTTTTTTCCCCAGCTGTGTAGTACTCTTCCTAGCTGCCTATCTATTTTGCCTCCAGGGATGCCATGTTTATTAACCAGTTCTATAACCATACAAGTGAGGCCTCCTTGGCTGCTGCTCAGACCCTGCTGACTACTGTACTTGCAATCCTCCGACTTCTGTCAGTTAAATGTTACCTTTGGCTTCTTGGTTTTTGTTGTTGTCCCCATTATGTCCCCGAATGGCCTCTTTTGTTTTAGGATCCCATCATCATCATTGTTATCACCCAGCCAAGTTCTGGAACAGCCTTTGTCATTCTTGCCTACAGAGATGAGCCATCACTGAATATTTTAGTGACATTAGTGCCCCTTTCATCACCCTATGTCTAATGACCTTTGTAAATGATGTGTTATTTACATTTTCCTGTGGAATATCATCTGGAGGGGCTTCCAGATGCATGGAGTATATAAATTTCAGCATGCCCATGCCCCTGAACCTTTTATTCCCTTTCACCACTGTCTGCCACAGCAACTTTGCCATTTCAATTTTGCTTACCATGGCCCATGGCCTTTTCCAAGTATGGTGTTTTAAAAACACATCGGCAAATTTTTTTTTTTTTTTTTTCTTTTGAGATGGAGTTTCGCTCTTGTTACCCAGGCTGGAGTGCAATGGCGCCATCTCAGCTCACCGCAACCTCCACCTCCTGGGTTCAGGCAATTCTCCTGCCTCAGCCTCCTGAGTAGCTGGGATTACAGGCACGCACCACCATACCCAGCTGATTTTTTGTATTTTTAGTAGAGATGGGGTTTCACCATGTTGACCAGGATGGTCTCGATCTCTTGACCTCGTGATCCACCCGCCTCGGCCTCCCAAAGTGCTGGGATTACAGGCTTGAGACACCGTGCCCGGCCGGCAAATGTTTTTTATTCTTCCCTTTAGAATGTGAACCCTAATTCCTCTACCTTTGAATATGGGCGATTTAGTGACTTCATTTCTAACAAATAGGAAGTAGCAGAAGTGATGGTATGTAACTTCTGAAGCTGGTTCACAAAAGATACAGCTTTCCTTTGTCCTTAGATTGCTCTTGGAATCAGCCACCGTATTGTGAGGAAGCCACAGCCACAGGCAGTGGCATGCAGGAGTGTGCCCAATCTAGGCTGCACCCAATCTCCAGCATTAGCTGTTGGACATTGGAGGAGATGAAATCACATCATTCCAGCCTCCAGCCTCTGAGCTGCTCTAGCTGAGGCCTCAGACACTGGAACAGAGACAACCAATCCATACTGTGGCTGACCCACAGTAACCTAGAGATAATAAATGATTCTTCTTTTAAGCCACTAAGTGTGGAGTGATTTGTTATGTAGCAATAGATATACCACCATTCTAGGAGACAACCTTGAAGCAAGTCTGCACCCAGTCTTGGCCAAGGTGTTAAATCTCGTATTTCAATAAATACATCTATGCAAGTTTACATACCAGCTCCCTTCACTGACCACCCTCATAATCCAGTTCCAAACTTTCCCAGCTCCCATCAGGGCATGTTGGCTGGGTGTTACAGCTTGTTAAGGGCTGAAGTGTGTCCCCCTCAAAAGATATTGAAGCCCTAACCCCCCATACCTGTGAATGTGACATTATTTGGAAATGTGTCTTCATAGATAAGACGTGCTCATTAGGGTGGGCCCTAATCCAGTATGACTGATGTCCTTATAAAAACAGGCCCATGGCCAGGCACGGTGGCTCACGCCTGTAATCCCAGCACTTTGGGAGGCCAAGGCAGGTGGATCACCTGAGGTTGAGGAGTTTGAGATCAGTCTGACCAACATAGAGAAACCCCATCTCTACTAAAAATACAAAAAATTAGCTGGGCATGGTGGTACATGCCTGTAATCCCAGGTTCTCTGGAGGTCGAGGCAGGAGAATCGCTTGAATCTGGGAGGCAGAGGTTGTGGCGAGCCAAGATGGGGCCATTACACTCCAGCCTGGGCAACAAGAGCAAAACTTGTCTCAAAAAAAAAAAAAAAAAGCCCCACATCTAATGACCTTTGTCAATGTTATTTATGCCTTCATTTGGACACACACACACACAAGATCAACATGTGAATATAAAGGCAGGACTGAGGCAATGCGTCTGTAAGCCAAGGAACACCAAAGACTGCCAGCAAACCACCAGAAGCTAGGACAGAGGCATGAGACAGATTCTCCCTCCCAGCCCCAGAAGAAACCAACCCTGTGAACACCTTCATCTCAGACTTCTACCCTCCAGAACTCTGAGACGATAAATGTCTGTCCAATTTGTTACTGAAGCCCTAGCAAACTAATAACACAATTCTTTTGAAGGGGAGGGAGGAAGTCTCTTTTCTATCTCATTGCTTCCAGCTGAATAACGCAAAAGAAACCACCATAATTATCCATCCAGTATGCAGTATGTGGGGGGAGGGAGGAGGAGGAGTGGTAGGTTCATACGAGAGGTGAGCCACCCTGGTAGGCTTCAGGTTCAAAGCAGGTCAGGTGGGATGGCTCACCTGAGCCTAGGAGTTTGAGACAAGCCTGGGCAGCATAGCAAGAGCCTGCCTCTACAAATAAAAAAAAATTTAACCAGACATGGTGACACATGCATGTAGTCCCAGTTACTTAGGGGTGGGAGGATGGTTTGAGCCCAGAAGTTGAGGCTGCAATTAGCCATGATTCAGCAACTGCACTCCGGCCTGGACAACAGAGTAAGACACTGTCTCCAAAAAATAAAAAAGGTTTAAGGCAGTTTGGGGAGTTAAAACCTTTGAAGGCATCTACCCAGGTATCTCCAACCCACATATGATGGGTTTGTTGCTGTCTCTTTTTTAAAGATAGGGTCTCACTCCTGTTGCCCGGGCTAGAGTGCAATGGTGACATCATAGCTCACTACAGCCCTGACTTCCAGAGCTCAGGTGATCCACCCATCTTAGCCTCCTGAGGAGCTGGGGCCACAGCCATGGCCACCACCATGCCTGGCTAATTTTTTGTGTTTCCAGTGGAGACAGGGTTTTGCATGTTGCCCAAGCCCGTCTTGAACTCCTGGACTCAGGCAATCCTCCCACCTCTGCCTCCCGAAGTGCTGGGATTACAGGTGTCAGCCACGGGGCCCCGCCTCATCTCTTATAAGCAGGCTCCAAACTTAGTGGAATAGTATTTCCTTGTTTGGGCGTTTTGCCATTTTTGGAGTTCAGTCAAACAGGGATGTCAATTCCTGGGCCTGGTTCTTGTCTTTGTCCTGCTGCAGTAAATGAAGCTTCTCTGCATGCAACGGGACAGCCTCACTGGCTTTCAACTGCTTGCTGCTTGCCTTCGGCTGTCCACCTTTTTTTTTTTTTTTTCCCTTAAAAAGAGATCAGGGGAGAGCGTGAACGTAGTGTCCCACTACCACAAATTATGCAGTCGAGTTTCCCACATTTGGGGAAATCGGCAGGGGTCACCACATCCGGAGTGCAATGGATAAGCCTCGCCCTGGTAAAACCACCTTTGTGATCATGGTATCGCCCCTGCCAGGTAAGCATATGGCTGTCCACCATTCTTAAGAGACTCGGTGGCACTAAGCAATCCCCTTTTCCTTCCTCATAGCTACTCCGTTCGCCGTGTATGAAATGTCTGATACTTTACCCACATAGGTATTCCATTTCAATAGTTCACCCCCTACTTCACCACTGGTGAGTCATGCAGCCTCAACTCCCATCTTCTCACAGCTTTAACTGTTGCAGAACGGTTTCTCCAGGAGCAGATGCTGCGACTGAGTTTGGGTATGACAATGTTTACATGGTATCAGCACCTGTGAAACGAAGGGGAAGGAAGCTCGTGGACGGGGACAGAAGGGTACGTAGGTCCCGCCAAGCTCTGGCCGGCCTGGTGTGGACCTCCGGAGCCAGAACTGCTGGGGCTCGCCGAACGGTGACAGTCCAGCCTCACTAACAGACGCGCGGCATGGGTGCACGACCCCGCCGCTCAGGCCGCCACAGCCACCCTCGCGCCATCAGACACACCGCCCACGCGTTCGGGGTGCAGGTGGGGCCCTCTCAGTGGGGCTCCGCCAGGCCCCAGGCCCCTCCTCGTCCGTCCTCCCGCCTTCCAAGGTCACCTCGCAGTCCGACATGGCTGCCGGGGCTCCTTCGGGGCCAACCACGTGTCCTTCTAGGGCTGTATTTCAAAGCAAAGGCGTGAACACCCGTAAAGGTGCGAGACAGGCGCCTCGCCGCCACCACGGCCGGCGTAGCGTTCGCGGTCAGCGCAGCCCCAAAGTGAAGACAGCGGTTAATGCGGGCGCGCCAAGCCACGGGGACCAAAGACGAGCCCGAGAGGGGCGGCTTGGGTGGGAAGGCCGCGCGCGGGGCCACTAGCGGCGCCTCGGGGTCAGCGTGGGGACCTTGCGGCCAGCACCCACGCCCACGGGCCGCCCAGCCCCACGCAGGCGCCTCACGCCCCAAGCGCCGCAGCCCGCCCGCCTCACGCCCGCCCGCCCGCCTCAGGCCCGCCACCCCCGCGCAGAGCCTGTCGGGAGCGGCGCACTCCCGCCTCTGCCAATGGGAGCCCGGAGCGGCAGCGACGCGTCTTTGCGGCCAATGGAAGCGAGGCTCTGGTGTTGCTGGGTGGGGCCCGGCGGGCAGGCAGGGCCCGAGACCCACCGCGCACGCGCGCTCGCCACCCGCCCTTCCCGCCGCGCACGCGCTCCCGCGTAGGGCCGGCCGGGCGCTCAGGAGCGCGCGGGGCAGCGGCGGCGCGAAGGAGCCATCCGCGCTCGTGCCCGCGCGGGTGCGTTGCCGCCCTGGCAGCGCCCCTGCCCCGCCGCCTCCCGCTCCTTGCCTGGCGGACGTAGGTTGTTTGCCTGAGGGGAGCAACGTAGCGGCGGTCCGCGCTCCCGCCGCCAGGCCCGGTCCGGCTCCAGCCTCTGCCCGGACGCTGGCCGGCCTGGCCATGGCTGACCGCGGGTGCCCGCTGGAGGGGGCGCCGCTGCCCGTCGAGGTGCGGGAGAGCCTGGCTGAACTGGAGCTGGAGTTGTCGGAAGGTGAGCCGGACCCCGCCCTCACCCGGGACCCCTGCGCGGCCTCTCGCGTCCGGGACCCGCCCCTCACCCGGGACCCCGGTTCCTCAACCCCGGGACCCCGCCCCTCACCCTGGACCCCAGCACGGCCCCTCACCCCGGGACCCCACCCGTTACCCCCAAGTCCTCCCGCCCTTCGTCGCCAGGACCCGGTCCCTCACCCCGGGACTCTGGCCCCTCCCCCTTGGGACCCCTCCCTTCACCCCGGGACTCCCGTGCTGCCCCTCCGGACCCCCGACTTTCACCCCCAGGACCCCCTTGTGGCTCCTCACACCGGGGACCACTGCCCCGCCTCTCATACAAGGACCTCCTGCGGCCCCTCACGCCTGGGACGCTTACTCCTCACCCCAGGACCCCAATACGGCGGCGCTGAACCCAAGACCCCCGCCTGGACCCCCCACACCGGGACCCCTACCCAATTTCTGGAGACCTTTCCTTACCCCCAGCTGCTCCCACCGTGGGATCTGACCCCAAGGACTGGCCTTGACTAGGTCGTTTGGCCAGGTGTGGAATCTTGGGGGGAATGCCCGCTTTTGCCTCAGGCTGTGAGCCCTTTTCTCCAGGCTGTGGGTCTGGGCTTCACCGGGGTGACTGTGTCCGTTGTCCGCGGGCAGCTACTTCCCTGGAGCTAGGAGCCCGCGCCCCGCGCCTGGTGCTCTAGGAGCTGCACCCTGTGCCTCGTTTTACTATCTATAAAATGGGGTTATAACAGCACTTTCCTTTTTGGATTGTTATGAGGCCAAACTACCTTAATATGTGTGCAAAACACATAACGCAGGAGTTGTTAGCCCCCTTCATGGAATTTTTTAAAGTAAAAAAAAAAAAAGTCTTATAAATGGTTAGTCGATAAAAATAGACTGGAGTAATCTGGCTTCAGAGGTGGTGGGTGGCATTTCCCATTTGGATGTTATCCCTGTCAAGGCCCGTGTCCTGATGTTCCTTTTGGCTGTCATTGGGAAGGAGTTAGGTTTTTCTTCAGTATCAGGAAGGACTTGCAGTCCTTGAAGAAAAGCATGTAATTGATTCTTACTCTGTTTTTGAGACCTAAATGCATTTTCAGCTTTTAGAATCCATTTTTAAAATCTTATTCTTTTTTTTTTTTTTTGAGATGGAGTTTTCACTCATGTTGCCCAGGCTGGAGTGCAATGGCGTAATCTTGGCTCACCACAACCTCCGCCTCCCAGGCTTAAATGATTCTCCTGCCTCAGCCTCCTGAGTAGCTGGGATTACAGGCATGGGCCACCACACCTGGCTAATTTTTTGTATTTTTAGTAGAGACGGGGTTACTCCATGTTGGTCAGGCTGGTCTCGAACTCCTAACCTCAGATGATCCACTCGCCTCAGCCTCTCAAAGTGCCGGGATTACAGGCATGAGCTACTATGCCCGGCCAATGATCTTATTATTTTTACTGTAAGTTTTAGATTGATAGATTTTGCTGAGTCTGGGGTATTTTTCAAAATATCTAATGAATATGAGCGCTAGCACATAGTAAGTCGTTTAATCCTTACCAACCTTAGGGAAGTAGATGCTGTTGTGATCTTGTTTTACATATAATAACAGCATATACTTGCAATTGTTTTGAATTTATCATTCAAATTTTAAAAGTGTCGTGATATGTGACACATTTTTTTTTTTTTTTTTTTTTTTTTTTTTGAGATGGAGTCACCCAGGCTGAAGTACAGTGGCACAATCTTGGCTCACTGCAATTTTTGCCTCCCAGGTTCATGCGATTCTCCTGCCTCAGCCTCGAGTAGCTGGGATTACAGGTGCCCGCCATCACACCCAGCTAATTTTTTGTTTTTTCAGTAGAAGTAGGGTTTCACCATGTTGACCAGGCTGGTCACCAGCTCCTTACCTCAGGTGATCCACCTGCCTCTGCCTACCAAAGTGCTGGGATTATACACACGAGCCACCGTGCCTGGCTTATGGCACATTTTTAAAAAATGGAAGTACAGTTTGAGTTCACAGTGGCTTCATGCTTGTAATCCCAACACTTTGGGAGGCTACAGTGGCTTGAAGACATGAGTTCAGAACAGCCTGAGTAATATAGCAAGACAATTTCTCTGTAGTATTAAAATCAGCTGGGCAAGGTGGTGTGCACCTGTAGTTCCAGCTACTTGGGAGGCTGGGGCAGGAGAATCACTTGAGCTTTGGAGCACTGCAGCCTGGGCGATAGAGCGAGACTGTCTCTCAAAGAGAAGAAGGAAAGAAATGGATGGATTTGAGAATTTTTGGTGATTAGATTCTCTTAGGCGGTCTGACAGACTTAATTTAGAAATTTGACAGGATCTACTGTACTGCATTTGTTAAGGCTCTTTAGGGAAAATCATATATATGCAGTTTAGATTCTACACGTTTCAAATATATTTTTGCATAGTGCTAATTTCTGCTCCAATGAATTCATTATTCCTTCAATTTCTCATTATCTTGTAGTTGTGTTTGAGTGCTTGCTAGGAATTGATAATTGAATCCTCAAAGTACTTCATAATTTGTGGGACAAAACATAAGTACTTAAATGAAAGAAATGTTTCCTATCGAATTCATTTATGCTAGTGTCATTTTAGAGATATGTAGGGTATGTATAGATAAGTAAACGTATAAGATTATGTAACATGGAAAAGTACCTTAAGTTGAGAAAGGAAGTAAACAAAAAAGTATTAAACCCAGGTATGGTGGCCCGGGCCTGTAATCTCTGCATTTTGAGACGCTGAGGCAGGAGGATCGCTTGAGCCCAGGAGTTTGAGACCAGCCTAGGCAACACACGGAGACTCTGCCTCTACCAAAAAAAAAATAGGCTGGGCTTGGTGGTGTGCGCCTATAGTCCCAGCTACTCAAGGGGCTGAGGTGGGAGGATCACTTGAGGAGCTTGTGAGCCTTTATATGCCACTGCATTCTAGCCTGGGAGACAGAGTGAGACCTTGTCTCCAAAAAAAAAAAAAGTGTTAAGGGGAAAAGACAGCAGAGAGCAGAGTAGTAGAGTGGCAGCCAAGGAGGTGGAAGCTCTGGCTTCTTGGCTTCTTTCCCTGCTCCTAGATTAGCCTGACACTTCTTTTGTCCAACATAGGTCAGTGATTACTTAGCCACAGTCACACATGTGGACCTGACTTCGAGGGTGCTTCCATAGGTTAGTGCTGGCTTCTATAGTTTGTGTTGTGGTTGTTGTTGACATGGGGTCTCCTCTTTGGATTTGGAGATGGTTATTGATAAGGACTTTGTTTTTGGCAGAGTTTTGGCATCTTCACACAGTGGCTGGCATCTGGTAAAGTGTCTGTGAATCTCTAGTAAATTATAATGTCTGTAAACTTGGGTTTGGTCAGCTGTAAAAGGAGGTGAATACCAGCTTTACTAACATTCCAGGTTTATTGTAAAGATTCAGTCAGATAGTGTGTTTGAAAATTCTTTGAAACTGGTGTTTTATTTACATCATTAAAGGGAGATACTAGTAATGAGCTATAGTCCTAAAACCAAAGTTAGTGTTTCCTTGTCATTATTTTTATATCTTGTCAAAATAGTATAACTTTTTCATAGCATTCACATTTATCTGAGTGAGAAATTGCCTAAAACAGAGTTGTCACTGTGCTTGGTAGGTTGGAAGGAAGAAGAAGCTTAAAAGTGACAAAGATGCTGCCTTCAATGGAAACTGGTAATGAGTGATATCTGAATAATCTAGAAAATCCTGCATCCCTTCCCCTCAGCCTGTTGAAAGTATCCCCCTGCCTTTATTCATATTTCACACCTGGCCTTATTCTCCAATATCCTCAGTGCATTCTTATCAACCATTGTGATAGGCGTTGGTCCGGGAAAGTTCTGGCAGAATGCTATGATTTCTTTCCCTAGGGCAAGTTTGCTGAATTTGTGTTATAGATTCCCAAAACGAAAATAAGGCATAGCTGTGTTCTTGCTCCTTAACTTTTCTGGCTGTTTTGCCCTCTTGACTTAGGAGTCTGCTTCAGATTAAGATAAAGAGTGGAAGTACATGGAACCCCACTCTTCTTAGACCCCTTCTTAGACCGCTTACCCCCAGCCATGAACACATACAGAAGAATTCATACATGTGGCTCCTGAAAACCTGTCAGGATGTTCATGGATGAAAGTGAGATCATTAGAGGTACAACCTTGATATTTAAAAAAGAATTAATTCCCAAACCTTTGTGCTTTGCCTGTTACCGTTACAAATTCTTGGACACACCTCACAGCTGCTTTTGGCACACCAGTGCTGTACAGTGTCTTGGAGCTATTGCTGCTGAACTGCTTTAAAAACATGGACGGTGGTATTTTGTTCTTTGTTTTAGTGGTCTGCAGTAGGTTAGAGAGGAAATTCCTGCACAATAGGCTACCTTTATCCCACTCCTATTATTTTATTCTGGTTAATAGGTCTATTCCACAGCTTTAACTTCAGTA